ACCATCTGTTCAACAACCTTGCTAGATTTCACTTGACCAGTTAGGCATCAAAACCTAGAGGCTTATCAAGCTCCCAGTGGGGCTTATTTTTGATGGATAATGGGCCATGTTCAACTTCTTTGCTCATCAGTTGTATAGAGCTGGTTTAGAATCAGTCCACACTTGACATGCATGTCTGCAGCTGAATTTACTGTGGATTAGTATTGAACAGATGTTGATTCAGACTTCATATTAGGGATGGGCATGAACTAGGAAAATGGAGCTTCATTTCAGTTTGTGGGGCCACACGAGCCATGAACTTTCACAGACCTTCCCATTTACCAAACTCGTTCCCATCTACCAAACTACCCCCATGACCTAGAGATGCCAAACTCACAGTGTGTCTGCAGCTGACTCTCCTCTACCTGCCCTCCACGTTTGGTGAGGATTGGATTTAGGGGAGCTGAGTCACCCCCCCAAAAAAACATGTGCCCCCAGTTAAGTGCTCTCTGGGGAAATCACAGCCCGTTCCCTTCCCTCTCTGTCTTTAACATGTGGCATGCCTGCTGCCAATGGAAAACAACAGCTGTGTATGAGCTGGGGATATATATTATTCTGCTCCCATAGAACAGAATGGGAGCTCTCTTATCGGTGAGAGCTCTCTCTTAAGGGCATCTGGATTTGATGCTGTGCAAGCATCTTGTAGCACAGTCCTAAAAACACTTTCCTAGGAGTAAGCCTTACTGAATAACATGGGACATTTCTGAGTAGACCTGCTTAGAATTACTCCCTAAACTACCTTAAAGCAATCTGACTGAATCTCTCCTCAGCATGCAGTTCAGAAGTCTTTCTCTGCTTAGCAACCAATCAGATTGCTTGGAACAGCCTGTCACTCAAGTCTAGAGAGGCTTCTGTGAAGAATTAACCTTTTACAGTCCTTCAGCTGTTTGTACAGCACTTTTGAGCTTCTTAAAAGTGAAGTCCTTCACACCAGCACCAAACACCCGAACCCCATTGTTTACAGGAGGAATGGCTTCCAGTTCCTGTCCCTCTCTGTCTCTAATGTGTGGTGTACCTGCTGCAGACAGAAACAGCAGCTGCACGTGAGCTGGGGGTATATATCATTCTGCTCCCATAGAGCAGAATGTGAGCTCTCTTATTGGTGGCCAGCACTACCTGTCAAGCTTTGGAGGTCCACTATTGGTGTTTCTAGAGCTGCAGAAGTCCATCCCCCATTGCTTTGATGATAATAATTTATTGGTGCCAGTGTGTGTGCCCTGGTTGCTGCCGACACACCCCACCACAAGATGCCCGAACCTCTGAAAATCACATGGAGGGTCATTGAGGTGACATCGCATGAACCTCGATTTGCAAACCATGACCCAGGTGATTTTAGTTGCGAATTTAGGGTCATGCCCAGGTTCATGCCCATCCCTACTCCATATAGCTGACACACAACATCACAAACTTTTTCTGAGTCTTCACATCTATGTTGTCTCTACAATATGTCTAAAAGTACAATTCACTTAGTAATAAAAATGCAGCTTTCACTTTTTACATAAGATTAGCTTTTATTTCATAAGGAAACTCAGTTCCAAGAGCCATAGTAAGAAACCATCTAGAAAACCAGCAAAGCAAAAAGCATGGACATGATGGAAGAAACAAAGATAGAAGAAAGCCATCGATCTGAGCAATAATATTAATGCAGACTTACAATCAACACCATGCACATTAGATTTAGAAGTGGTTACAGAAAATTAGCATGCATTTCATACAGTTCTAAGTGAAATTAAGGCACTTTTTTCAAGAACATACTCTGTGATTGCAGTCTTCCCTCTCCCTATTTTGTGACTGTTTTGTCATTGTAACTTTGGCACCAGGCTCGTATCCCAGTTACTGCTACAACTGGAACTCAAGTCATTGATGGATATTTTACAGATAAGTGAAACAATCTATATACTTGCTTTACATAAGCACACTAGAATTCTGCATTGTGAGCTAGGAATTGAGATTGTTTTGTAAAAAAATTAAGCTGTGCATTTGTACATATCACATTTTATCAAATCTAATTCTTGAATTAGATACTTAACAGTATAAAAATTATTGAAGAATTTACTTAACATTGCTACCTTGCCAGATAATGTTAATATTATATTTTATTGGGTTGTAACTTTAAGACAGATTTTTATAATAGAGCACGGTTGTTGCCTAGGAAAACTTACATGCAGATCTAGAATTGATGTTATTAAGCAATATAAAGAGACATTGTGAGCAGTTATACTATGATGATTATGGCTGTAGCTTAGCTTGGATCGTGTTACAAATTCAAGGTTCAGCAGCGAGTCTGCAAAACAATCTTTCTGAATCTCATGACACGTTATTGCTGAAGGTACATAAAAAATAAAGTGGGGTTGATTTGGTAAATACAGGAATGTTAAGAACTAGCGATGGAACAGAATCTAATACTAGTGAAGATTCCAGAATGGACAAAAGTCCCACCCACCCCGGTACTTGCATGACTAGTTTTCTCTGATGCACAAGGAAGCTACAAACTTAAGTGGTGATTCTCATTTATGTGCTCTCTACTAAGCTTTAACTCATAACATTAGGCAACATTTATTAAACAAACATCATGGACACAGTCACGTATTATTCGGGCATCCAAGCAGTGATAAATATTTGCTAGTTTATTCAGACTAATGACTTATTTTGTATTTGTAGGCAGAAACGAAGCCTTAAAAGGAGAGTAGGGAAGGCAAAAGTTTGCAGACTTGGGTTTGCTATTTCCTTCCTCCTTGTATTATATTTTATGAAAAAGTCAAGCATACCAGCATGAAGCTATGGTTGTTTTTAATAGGAAACACAACCAACTAAAGCAGACATTCTCATTTTAAATAGTCATATAGGTCTTTTTAAGATTTTCTAAAACAATTTTTAGGTCATGATACTTTTAACCATATAGGTCTTTTAAGATTTTGTTTTTAGGTCATGACACTTTTAAAGCCCTTGTGGATCTTTTGTGCAAGAAGAGATGTGCCTTATTAGCCAACTTTTGAAGGAGAATGAAAACGGCTCCTTTTGTTTTTAAGAAAATCAACGCCTTCTCAGATTTGAAACTCTTTTAAAGATCTTCAAAAAAGGCAACTTTGCCAGAGATTTGTGATATGTTTTCTAGATAGCTGCTGCCTTTTTTCTAGTTGTGTAAAATGCTCTTACTAAATCTCCTGTTTATCCCATCCAGTTTAGCAGAGTGCTGCCCATGCTCTATCATGCCAGCTTTGCTTTCTATAATTGGATGATGTGTTTTGAAGATAGCTGGAAGCAGTGAATTTCCCATACAAATCCCTACTGTCATGACTGGTGAAAGGTAATTCCAGTTGGGCAAATACCAAGACTCGGTGTCCTTCAAGAGGCCTGCCCTGAGGCAGCACAAGTTTCTCATACTGCCTCTGATCTCCTTGGCCTGCCCCAGATGAAGATACCATACCTTCCAAGACCTTTCACTACTATGTCATCAGGTCTCAAGGTAGGAAATACTAGCTATTCTGTATTTAATAAATACTTGGTAATTATGAGATGCAGTTCCCCAAGCTTATTTCTTAATTTTCCACTCCCACTTTATCTCCAGTTCTATAAACCAACCACTATCTACACACTGTAGGGGATCTTTACAATAATTGTTCAAATTTAAATTGTTCAAAAACCTCATTGCAGCTATCCTACCTAGAATAAGTCGACGGCTCCCCTGAGTTTATGGTACATGTTTTCCAAGAAATACCAGAAAGCAACTTTTAGAAGTAGCTGAACACAATCAGAGGTATTTTCTACTGCCGTGATAGACTGTTCACCAAATGCTCAGTATCTCTACCATTATAATAGGAAATTATACAGTGACTTTAGACTGTGCCCCAAGAGGGTTTAAGAAAAAAAATTAAAATGCTACCAAGTACACAGGTGTAACACCCAACTGATAGCTTTGGGCTGGATCCCAAGTATTACAAGTGTAGCACAGATTGGGGAAAGGGTTTGTTCTACAATTCCCCTCCAGCAGCAGCCTACCAAGAGCCCTGAAATTTTGGTTATGGGACCTTCATGAATGATGTGTGGGAGAGCAGGAGTCTGCAGAGGGAATGAACAAAAATCATTCCCCTACCAAAGGATGTGCCATTCCACTAGCGCAAGCTCTCTTAAGTCAATGGAACACCACCTCTGGATTTGATTCCTTGTGTTTGCCCGAGATACCATACCCAGCATAGCTATTTGGTTTAGCATAACTTTTCTATCAACTACCATCAGCACCACAGTAACACCACTGGCATATAATTGAGCAGACAAGGGTGAGGCAGCAACTGGAATGGGACAACTCACCTAGCAAGGAACAACAATCTGGTTGCACACTAGCTGAGAAGTGTGGAAGGCTCTAGAAGGACAGAAAAACTTAAACAGCAATGTCTCCTGGTGTTTTAAGAAAGTATGGAAGAAAGATGTGGGATTTCAGATGGAGAAACAGTCCTTGCTACCAGTATATTTTGCATTTACCTCAGACAAATGTTTTTGGCATATGGTTAAGAACTCGGGTTACCTTGGGACAAGTAGCAAATGGAAAAATAAATGATTGTAGTGATCTAAGCTGTGAGAAGATAGTTGTAGGTGCTCTATCATCTTTCAGTCTCAAGAGCACTCAGCAAACGATGTATGGCAAGTCTCTATTGTGTGTGCACACATTTTAAAACATCCCACGCCTTGAGTGATTTAATTTTATATGTGCAAGAAAATTCAATCATCATTTTAAAAACTTTACAACACACACATGACATTTCCGATGAAACCACGAGAGGGAGCTGTACAACCCAATATCAAAATACCACCCCCTAGGACTTGATTACATCTTGTGTTTACTGACAATTCAGCCAGACTCCTCCCGATTGCAATTTACCATCTCCCCAAATACAAATTAACTTTTATTTGCATTGTTATAGTTATCTGTAAGCTATCCTCTAATATTATTTTGTCCAGATTCTCAATCAACTCTGTAATTTTGTTTGACCCAATCGACTGTCTGCATTTTGTTTTAGTTTCTTTTATTTCTAACTTGAATTTGGAGAAGCTTTTCATATCAAAAACCTATTCTGTCAGGCCAGTATATTTGTGGCATTGTGTAGAAAAATGGATTAAAACCCATTTCTAGAAGTGTTCTGATAGTGGTGAAGCTTGACACAGCAAGTGAAACTAGCTCATCTTTATACTCAACACCCTATGTCAGCAAAGGTGACAGGAAATGGAGACTGTCAAAGCAAATAGTATGAACTACAGTGTTCAGGTAAAACTTATGGGCATGTGTGGTTTATGTGCACGTACCTTGAAACATGGGGAAGGAAGAGAAATCAAAGATCCAAAGCAATTTAAATTAGGAAAATAGCAGTAATTGCTTAGATTGAGAATCAGTGCTGAGTTATAAGCATACTACTGCCTTACATTTCCTTGTAGCACATGTGTGGTAGCACATTTCAAAAGTTACACATTTATAAGGGCATCAGCAACATATTACAAATCAAAGAAATCAAGTTGTTTCAACATGGTAAGGATGGTCTTGATTTTCCACAGTAAGCCAAATTTCACAAACAGTAGCAACAGCATGTATATATTGCATTTTTATTTCATCTGCTCAAACAAAACAAAGTTAGCATTTAAGAAATTTTAACATGACACAGTATGATAAAAATAGCAGAGAATTAACTGAAAAACTCAAAAGGAGGTAAAACTAAATGCATGAAAATTCAACATTCATTAGTGTTTCATCTTCAGTTTTGATTGACACTTGATGCTTCCAAAACTTTTTTGAACAATGAACTTTGTTTCATGACAACTCTCTGAAGAGATTTCAGCACCAGCACTAAGATTTGTACATTCAGTTTGTTTGTGATTAACTTGTTAGCCACTTGTATATGGATAGGACAGATTTATCACAGATCAGATCACAGTGTTGAGGAAAGAAAAACCTTCCTGGAATTAAAAATGATCCCCTAAACCATATTCAGCTTAAGGCATCCGCTGTACAAAAGCACAGGAACCATCATTTTTTCCCTCCAAGAACAGTAATTAAAATAACTTAAGCTGCTTCTTTAGTAGCTCATTTTAATTACAGAAATATCTGGCAATGGCATAGCTGCTAGTACAACAGCATGAATTTACAGTTTATCAAACTGGATTCCCTGGAACAGTCCAATTGAGGATCTTATAGATATGCATGTAGAAAGAGTACAGAACCTTCCTTTTTTCTTTTACACAGAAATCATGTTAATTTTAGACCAAGGCACAAAACGTTTAGTGCATTAACCAGTTTCATTCACAACCTAGTAAATTAATTCTCTTAGCCATGGACCATGGACACCTATAACATTCTCGTAAACTATCTCTGAATTTTCTTTACAAACAAAATCAAACATGATTTCCGACGAGAGTAAGTGATTAAGTTTATACTGCTTAAACATAAAAGTTACTCCTCTAAGATGAAAGTGCCTCCTTAATTTGAGAGCAACAGCATTTGCTTATCTTTAGATCTAAATGCCTTCAATTAATGCATGCAGAGAACTTTTTTTTTAAGTAACCACTGAATTGGGATTATACGTTACAAGCCATTCCTCCATCATACAGAAAGAGGGGAAATGGAGAATTTTCTCATTCAAGTAGCAAACAAATGCTGTTAAATTTGCTTTGGTGTTCAACACTTGGGACAATATGCTAGTTAAAGCTTTCTTATAACTACGCCAAATGGAAGTAGATAATCTCAGAAACTGATTATGTCCAAAATGGCAAGTTATTTTAAAATCAGCATAGCTCACAAAATAAACATGGCACTATTATAACTGAAAATTCAAGATGCAGTAAATTACTGTTGCACTTAATTTGCCAAATTGCTGAATTTTTAGTTGCAGGATACCCAACCCCCCACCCTGCTGCCCTTCTTTGAAGTTTGCCTGGTATGTTTTAGCAATGTTTAAATCCTGGAATAAGAGATGAATATAATGGAGAAAATAAAATCCATTCTTCTAGAAATAAAAATGGTTGACAACACTGTTCTTGAGATTTATTCACCTTGCAGTTTTTTCAGTGTTTGATTATTAGTTACCAAGGTCCAAAGCACAGGACTGGGCAGCAGGTTGTAGGATCACCCTCCCAATCCCTCCCCTGTTCTCTAGTGTGGCTTCCTCTTCACTGGCGTTAACCAGGATTAAAGGATGCATGAGCACCAACTGTAAAAGTTAATGCTAATCAGGGTTCTGCTTTAAAAGGATTTGAAAGTATAGCTGGAAGATTATTAAGCATGGTTATATAATGTGCAGGGTGGTAGGAACTTTTGCAGGACAGAAGAGGGGAGGAAAGGAATGTGCGTTCTCAACACCTACTCTCAATCTCTTGGAGCATAATGGTCGCACGAGCCCTAATATTTCACTTCCTAATTAAACCAAACCTGTCTCAATACACAGGTAAAAGTAAATGTTATGGAAAGAACGCTATTCATTCTCTTTGCATCTTTTAAATCATTTCCAAGTGTAATTATGACGCTTAACTTCAGACCCAGTTAAGAAAAGCAGCAAAACTGACTGGAGTTTCCAGAACTGTTACTGAAGCATCAATAAGTTTAAAATACAAAGAATTAAAGAAAATGATACAAAAAAGTATTAAGTACCTGGTTCTATTTAACATGGTTACTGATAAGTCACATCATTTTCCTTATTATTACACATGCATGCAATATAAGGAAAAATAGTGCAGTAATTAATACAAATTGTTTTAAATAAAAAAGTTACCCCTATTCCCAACTCTACATCTCCCAAGTATTGCCTGGGCAGTAACTAGGCCTTACTGAAAAAAGGCTACTTAATATTTGTGGCATGCAAGGATGTTTTAAATTAAAAAGCCAACTCTGTGGTTGTTTTATATTACAAAAATGTCTACATGCATAAATCTTAAAAAAGCTCAAAAACCTATGGTAAGTCTATAACAATCTAACCATTTATATTTGACAATTGATTTGTGTTCTGGAGAAGTCTTACATTTGGTAAAGCATTACAATTTAGGAAGGCATCTACATCTTTATACTCTGGACAGCACTTACATTTTCCCCTATGAAACTGTATGAAGGTTAACAAGAGAGGCTTCCTGTCATAAGATTCCAAAACTTTATGAAGTAAAATATCCCAAGTCTCTTATTCACCAATATTGTGTTACAACACACAGTCTTGTCATCTATTCTTTATTTTGCAACTGAAGTAATGTTTGATCTTTTAAATTATTCATGGACATACCAAATATGATAGGAAGACTAACCTGAGATACTCTTGCAGTACAACAGTGTAACTTGCTAAATCCTTCATTAATAAAGAAAACCTCTCTGAATAGCCTTCAAGCTCTTCTCTTTTTATGTCTTAAACAATGAACTGTGAGATGCGTAGCTTCGTCTTGAGATGAAAACATTTCAATGCACTGTGATCTTGTCTTGACAAGTATAGGAGTTTCTGCATAAATCACTACTGCAACTTAAGACTATTTTCCACCCTGTTGAAAAGTCAGAAAACAGCAGCAAAGGGAAATAGTAGACCACCAGAGTGATGTCTGAACGTTTTCAGAATCTTGCTTTCCCCTTCTTCCAATTGGGTGTTCTGCTTTCTTCTAAACAGCTCATAAAATGTAGTTGATTTTATACCAAGACCAGTGGTCATAACGTCTTAGTTCTAGTCTTTCTATGCTGTATTTGACTTGCTCAGTTCTTGCCTGATAGCTGATTTGAAAGAGGTAAAAAACAATTAGTTAGCTGCAGAAATACAGGGAGGGGAGAGGGGATGGAGGAGACTGTTTTGACTGTGATTTAATCTGTTAAAGTAACTTATCTATCAAGAAAATGCAGTCTATACAGCATTTGGCATGCTGCTGCATTACAGTTGAGAGGCTCAACAATTACAAGAATTTATACAACATATTGAAGGCCAAAATGGCCACGCTGTAAGATGAATGTTCTCAAAGTTGTTGGAACCAAGGCTTTTAAATGTAGAACCAAGACCAAGCAATTGCAAAACTGTTCAAGGCCTCACCCCTAAGGGTAGTATGTAAGAACCAGGAATTAAAACAGGACAAGGGAGGAACAGCATGAACAGAATAGCATGCTGGACGGATGTGAAGGAGTTAGGCTTACATAGCATAAAGTTTAAGGAGTAACAGAGTAAGAGGCTTACAAAAGAAGGGACAGAACTACAACTGAAGAGACATGCTTGGTGGTATGAACACAGGGAGCAGAGTCTTACAACAATTACTAGTACACCTTCTTTTAATCTGGAACACACTTTCAAATCTGAGTTCACCTCTTCAATAATCTTTTCAAGGTAGGCCCAAGGTAGTGATGATGGTGCTTATCAACTACGGCTAACAGTAAAGTCAGTAAAGTGGCTGGCCCTTATGCCAATTATTATGCAGAAAATGCATGACTTCTAAAACAAATTAAAAGGAGGGAGACAGGTATATTCGGCTACTCAAGCGACCACAGAATTACAGGGGGAAGAAAAATCCAGGATTCTATAAGCTTTTAAGGGCTTCAACCACTTTTAGGCATTGGGGAAGGGGAGCCGCACAGAGTCTTGCACTGCCCATTGCCCATTTTAAGATTACAGCAGTTATATTTTGCTCAGGATGTGAACTGCTCTGCTCAGTAGGGGGAAAAAATTAGAGGGAACTAGGGTTGCCAAGTGTTACCTGTATCCGGAGTGGGGGACTCCCAGCTTGCTCTGGGAGTGCGCGCGCGAAGTGTGCGCGTGCCGCACGCACGTCACCCGGAAGTGACATGCATGTCGGGGTGGGGTTCCCCCTGGGGCCTGATCCGCCGGTGGTGGGGACTTGGCAAGCCTAGAGGGAACGCTGATGCTGGTTATAACCTTTAAAGTATTTAATGGCATGGGGCCCACATATCTGAAATACCTTCCTCTGCTCATATGTTCCAGTGCACCAATGATACTCTGCTAGTCAACACTTTTGGTCATTCCCACACCCAGCCACCCGGCAGGACTGCTCATTGGTCATACACGGATTGTTTTTCAAATGGTAATTCCATGAGAAGTTAAGAGGGGTTTTTGGAGTTTCTTTTAAAGTGCTGTGAAGTTATGCTCTTTGCAAGAGCATTTAGTCGGATCTGAGCGTTAGGCATGTAGTTTTGAAGTATTATTTTATATTTATAGTTTTAATAGAACAATTTGTAAGCTGCCTTGATCAGCAAAGGGAAAAGTGGGATAGAAATGTCAAATTAAATTCTACCCAATTCCTACAATCCTGAACTTAAAAATCCAAAGGTCAGTCACAAATTCAAATACTCACCATCAATTAATTCTTCTTTTAGTTTTGTTAATTCCTTTCTCATTTCATCTAAAATATCCTATGGTATCAGAACAGAGTTAAAATGTCAAACGTCTGAAGAAATGTAAAATGTCTAAAGAAATTCCTATTCAATCTTTGTTAATTTTGAAAACTAGCATACTCTTAACTTCAAAAGCTACAAATCCAAAATACAAGTCACTCCAAGGGTAAAACTATATATGGCCAGCAATCAGTACATTACAGATACACTGAGGTGGGTAGTGTGTTTCAATCTATCTGAAGTGTGCATGCCCACGAAAACTTATACCTAGAGTAAAAGTTTGTTGGTCTTAAAGGTGCCACTGGACTCAAACTTTGTTCTATTACAGACACACAGTTAGGGCCAGTATAGATACAGAGTGCCATACTAAGCAGTTACCCCCTTCTGACTTCAGTGGACTTAGAAGGACATACTTAGGGTTGCACTTATAATGCTGGTTTTATTAACCATGGCTAAGCAATTAAAAGCTAGTCATAGGATCTGTGCAATATCCCCCCAGCTCAAGGTAATGAATACCCCCCTCCCCACCTTAATTGTAATCAGCAATGACAAACAGCAGTTGTCATTACCACCCAAGATTTCAATTTATACAGAATTTGAAACCAATACTCAATAAAGGTTACAAATCTTGATTACATCAAAATCCTGGTTAACACTGCTTTGATTAAGGTTAAATAGAGGTAAGGCAGGAAGGAAAGCAGTCACTAGCAAGAGGAAAAGTTGCAAGGGGACAGAATTCCACTCCCAGTCTCTTTAGCTCAGTGAAGATAGCCAGCTTTATACTTGACTAACCAGGATACCCTTGTTCAGGGGTCATTTCGTAGAAAAAGAGCTAGGGGAACTCATTAGCATATGCCACACCCCCTGACATCAGGGGCCCGGCGGTGGACCTGCAAGGCCAGCGGGAGTGCGAGGAAGCCCCGCCAAGGCCCTCCCTGGCCCCAGGCAGGCAGGGGTGGGGAGAGGCGGGGAGGAAGCAACTTACCCTCCCTCTTCTCCTGCCTCCTCCTGGCTGAATGAGGGCTGGAAGCGGGGCGGCCGGAAGCAGGGGGCGGGGCTTTGTCATGTGCCCCGCCCCCTGCACCTCACCCAGGGGAACTGCGTTCCCCCGCGTTCCCCCCCCGAAATGACCTCTGCCCTTGTTTAACAGCAGTGAGACATTTCAGAATATTTAAAATACTGGAGAATTATGGACGCAGCCAAATTTCTGTGCTGAAGCAATGCCAGCATTACCAGCTAACTCACCGTGTACAAAGGTATTTTACTTTATATTGCTTATTATGTCTACTTGGCAGTATGTACTCATGAGGGCTCCAACATTAGGTTCCTATTCAGCAGTTGACAGTATGCATGGCCATGGTTTAATCTGTCATTGAGCAATCTATTTCAAAGCTTATTTTAAGAACTTTATAGACATTATGCCCTAATTTGTAAATACCTTTTTTGCATTTTCTTGTATTATATCTCACCACAGACTCTATTAATACAGAGTCACAGAGACTATTAATATTTCCAAATATTATCAAAGTGTTTCCAAGAATTTATTGAATCATGGAGTAAAGACAGTGACAAATGTTTTCTATACATAGCCATTTAAAAGTATGATTTAAGTGGAAAAATGCATACACCAATTCCCAATTGCTGCACACACATTGCATTTTTCCAGTTCCTTAAATGAAGTATCTTGAAAACTCCCTGAAACATAGGGAAGGCAGTACAGAAATGACTAAATCAGATATGTTTTTTAACCCTTGAGGAAAGAAGAAACAAATAAGGACCTCTAAACAGAAAGAGAAACAATAGTGATATGAGTAATTATATCAATGAATACACACACATATTCATAAAAATTACGTAACAAGCAACAAATATCAGTGATGGATCTGTGCATAACAAAACTAGCTAATATAATTACACAATAAATAGCATAATTAGCACCATGCAAACAATGAATGAGAAAAAAAGGATGAATATCAGTTATAAATAGAAAATACCAATAGAAGGTAACAAAGGAACATTAATATCAGCATTTGTACAAAAAAGCAAGCTCCCAGATATGGCTCTTTTCAATACTGACTGTAATATCTTCTTCAGTATGTATAACAAAATGACTTCATGTGTCCAGATTGTGAGAAGAAAAAAGACAATAGCCAACATGCTGGCACAGTTGTAGCTATGTCCTGTTCTAGCCCTGTAAAATGAACTGCCATAGCATCAAAGCATGTATGTCCTAATTGCAGAAGCCAATGAATAAATAATTTAAATTACCCTATGGCAGCAGATGTCAAAAAAATCTTCATCAATTTTTTTCTGAGTTGGACGCATGAAGTAGTTTTGTTGTACATACTGTATAAATGTTGACATTTATCCTTTTCTTTTCATTCATTGTTTATATGGTGTTAATTCTATTTGGTGTAGTGGTTAAGAGCAGCAGACTCTAATCTGGCGAAAAGGGTTTGATTCCCCACTCGTTCACATGAAGCCAACTGGGTAACCTTGGGTCAGTCACAGTTCTCTCAGAGCTCTCTCAGCCTCACCTACCTCACAGGGTGTCTGCTGTGGGGAGAGGAAGGGAAGGAGACTGTAAGTAGTGGTGAGACTCCAAGTGAAGGGTGGGGTATAAATGCAACTCTTTTTCTTCTAATAATAATAATAATAATGAATAATTATTGTATGGCATTGTGTCTGGTATACCCAAGGGATCCGAAGACTGTCTGGCAGCCTTAAGTTTTACTCTTTTAGTGAGCTAGACTTATTTTGGGGGGCTGAGAGAGCTCTGAGAGCTGTGACTGACCTAAGGTCACCCAGCTGGCTTCATGTGGAGGAGTGTGGAATTGAACCCGGTTCTCCAGATTAGAGTCTGCTGTTCTTAACCATTACACCACACGGGCTCTTTCTATTCTGTAATTGTATTGGATGTTTTTGTTATGCACACATCCATCACTGTGATATTTGTGTTTAATTGACTGGGTAGGATCTTATGTAAGACTGTGGAATCTTATGTCACCACCTAGGTTTGGAAGGAATTTCAGCTTGGTTTTCCTCGTGGTATGAAAAACTTGTACACTAACTCTCTGGTCTCTGTTAGCAAGGTGCAGCTTTTGCTGTGATGTTCTTTCTCCTTTGAGGAGACAGAAAGTGGAACTTGTTTCCAGAAGATGGCTCCTTCTGGCTCAGGCTTTTCTGACTACTGCCAGAAATTCTAGTAAAAAATTGTTATTTTCTAAGAACACAATATATACCTGTTTCAATCTGTCATAGTCTAGCCCTTCAGACTGTACTCCATTTGTACTTGGTTGCCCAGAGGATGCTGCAGATTTTGGTCTATAAAAAAACACACAGAGATGTTTGTGAATTTACTACCCGCAATTCAACATTTGAAACATATACTGTCACCAAGTTCTAAACGGACTGTAATAAATACTGTCATATGGGGTGAATTTTGATCACAAAATGAGAAACCAAACTTGGGTAATGGTGGGTTTTATCTGTCAGTGTTGGGGTTGTCACCCTACTATACAGCAAATTAAAAGTCTAGGAGTACTATTGAATCCTACCTAGTTCTTAGGGGGTGGCAATGGCTATGAGTGCTTACATTAACATGGTAATAGATAGGTATCACCTTCCTGCCCTGATAGTCATGATCAAATTGTTCCTCCTGCATATACAAAGCTGAAGGATACCAAAATACTGTCCTGTACAAGTCTGATAATCAAAGCAGCGACTTTTTCAAAAAAACCAGAACACAATCAAAAGCCCACCTATATGGTAACTAAAGTATTACAATAGGTCACCGTATCACAGAAGAAAATGTCTATGTTCCTCATGCAAAGACACAATCAATTTTAAACTTTAATTAGATATACTAATTAAGATTTTTAATTTGTGGATATGGTGCCCATCAAAATATAAATCAAGTTCAATCTAGGTCATCATATTGACAGTCCATCCACAGATGAAATGCTGCAGTACCTCAACATAAGAAGAAGAGGAGATTGGATTTATACCCCGCCCTTCACTACCCAAAGGTGTCTCAGAGCGGTTTACAAACTCCTTTCCCTTCCCCTCCCCACAACAGAGACAGGTAGGTGGGGCTGAGAGAGCTCTTGACAGAAACTGCCCTTTTTCAAGAACAGCTGTGCCAGAGTTATGGCTTCCCCAAGGTCATCCAGCCAGGTGCAAGTGGAGGAGTGGGGAATCAAACCCGGTTCTCCCAGATTAGAGTCCGCACACTTAACCACTACACCAAACTGGCTCCTACTACACCAAACACAAGAACATAACCTCTTCAGAGTATCATGATTTCAATGTATTACCACTATTGATGATAAACTGATCATCACAAGCAATAATAAGACACCTCCTCTGGAAAACAGTTAACAGAGGGGGGAAAAGAACCTGCAGGACTGCTGGGACAAGCGGGGGTGGAATTTCCTCCACTCCTCATGAGTTACTCACAGGTCCTCACTTGTAAGTATATACGTACCATTTGATCCCTCTCTATATCCCATAAAAAAACAACAGATCAACAACAACAACAACAGTTTTATTTTGCAGTCAATGACCAGTATACACAAAGGTTTACATAAAATCAAATGATCAAATTTTGCAACTGTAAAAATTGCACTCAAGCTACTGTATGCATTTTCCGATCTTTGTACACCTGTGAACAAAATTTAGCCACTATTCGGTTTGTTTCATGGTTCACATTGGACAGAAGACAATCAAGTTTAATTTTGTTAGATCTGCCGGGGGAATTTCCAATCAGCAGCTCAATAAATTTTGACTGAATTTCTTTGTGCCTAGGGCAGTTAAATATGTTCCATTGAATCAATTTCCTTTAAAGAACAAGAACAGAGCCTATGCATATATGGGACTGATTTAAATCTTTTTTCCAGAACAGCGGAAGGTAGAGTTGAACTTCTTGCCAATGTAAAGGCCCTTCTGGAATTATTTGATTCAAGAAAATATAACTATGCAACAGAAGCAGCAACAAATCTTGAATTTGGAGATAAAACCTGGAGTTCTATGAATATCTGTTTGTCTTTCTATATCTGTCACTCTTTGTTTAATAAGTAGTTTGGCTTGGTCTGGCCCATGGTTCAAAAGTTCTAATGTTTAAAACACTTTTGTAAAATACTTATGACCCAAATATCTGTGGTAACAAATACCTTGAAATAATAGGAGACTTGCTTCCATTCATTGTGTTTGTTCTCTCCCAAGGCTTTCTTGTTAGTTCTGCATGAGATAAAGTCAATGGACATTAGATTTATATTAATGAATGACAAACAGTGCAGTTTTCAACACATTTACACCCTTCTAAGCCCAATGACATCAACTTGGTTTAGGACTGCACTGTAAAAACTTTTGGGATACATTCAAACACCTAGGGGAAAGGTAATTTTTCTACAACCACCATGGATGCCAGAAAAGTCAATAGGCAGCAGCATGAAGTACTGAGAAGACCAGAGATGTACATCTTTGATTTTAATTTAGATGGAAACAAACACTTTAACAACATACCAAAAATGCACCAACTTTGCCAAAGCCTTCTCTGATACGTTAAGGATGGCTGAGGGACCAGGGCAGAACAAATGTTAGACAGAAGGCTTGCTGTTTAACATCAGACAAAAAGGAGAACCCATTTAGTCAGGATATTCATTCCATTTTGGCATAATTATTTTTTTAGCAAGGGGTGCATATCTTGACATACAAAGCTTTATTTGATACTTGGAAAACATGTCCATCCTCACTTTTGTAGCAAGTTCTCACTTGAGGGAAGGAGGAAATCCTAACAATCAGGTACTCCAACTCCCATCATGCATGGAGGCAGGAAACAGGATACAATTTGTGTCTCCACAACTACGAAGTGCCCTCCTTCCTGAATTGGTCCTTTTCCTTACTCCTCTGCTAATAGAGAGAGATCCATCAAAACTGGTTTTCAGCAGAGCTCACAGGTTGCTAAACTCTTTCTGTTTTGTGCCTTCTACATTTCATCTTCTCTTCTTTCCTTCCCCCCTTCTTTCTGCATCCACTTCATTGGGTTCTTTTTTAAAAAAAGCTCTCTTCCTTGTTCTTTTTACTCCACTTTTATGAGTGAACTGACAGTCTCCGTTGCTTCAGTCAGGGCAAGATGTATCAAGATGCAGCTCAACTGATGAAACACCCAACACACTAGGATCATCAGGTAGAGAGTTCATTAAACCCAGACTTTATTGCAGGGGGGCCAAACTTCATAACTGAGAAAATGCAAGTAGCGAAGGTCTAGGGAGGAGCATTAGCCCATTATTCCAGATCAAAAGAAAGTGAAGGTAAATTTTTGGTACCAAAACCCAGCCTTAGCCCTGCAACTGGGGATGGGAGAGAGGGGATCCACAGATGGCTGCTTACAACAGAGGCAGCCATGGAAATACTCCCAGATAGAGATGTCACCACTGGTGTGTGTGTGGGGGGAGAGACAGAAAAAAATGGAGAGAACACTCCCCAGGACCTTTTCCAAATTTTCCCTTCAGAAATTTGGCAGAGCTCTAGAAAAAAAATCACCTACACAATATCTTCTTCTTTTAGAAAGAGAAAAGGCAAGCTTTTTCACTCTCAGAATGTAAAGCATGGAAAAATCGGAAGACATCAGTTTTTCTGATGGAAAGCAGTGAACACCTTCTTGGTTTAAATGTGAATAATTTTGCCAACCACTAATATAATACGTTTAATGATATTACATTATAAAAGAGCCCAGTATTTTCAATGTTATAAAATTTAGCTTAACATCCTAACATGTTGACAGTGCTATCTATTGTGACTAATACACTTCCTTTAGTCTACTGCAAAATTTGTTTTCTGTCTTCCAACTTTTATTTTTTTCTACCTCTCAGATGGCAAAAATTAAAGGTAACATGTGCTATGGGCACAACAGTTTGCAGCTCTTTCTCAAGTACTGGGTATACACTACATTTTTCTTATAGAGAATTACAGTGATCTTTCACTGTGATGGCCACTAGCAGTGGCTGCTCAGTGCAAACTATGGTGGATGCAGTTTCCAAGTCTAACATGGCATCCTCCCCATTTCTTGGGTGAAATTCCTTGGAGGCAAGCTAAATGCTATTCTTGTTTTAATTGTTTAATTATTTAACTGTTTTTATATCTTGGTTTTATTGTTTTATTATTTAACTGTTTTTATATCTTGGTTTTATTGTTTTATTATGTTGTGAGCTGCCCTGAGCCCACCTGTGGGGCAGGGTGGGATACAACAACAACAAGAACAACAATGAAAAAGTGATATAGTCTCAACAAGAAGACATTTTTCAAAAAATTATGGGCTCCAGTTCTTTTTTCCCCAGAGAGTGCTCCCCAGATTTCAGGGTGAACACAGGAAGTCAAGTGGTCTAGATCTAAACTAAATTACAGAGCCAACACCTACTTTAACTCCTCAGTTCAATTCTCAAGGAACATGCATGAGATGCAGGAAACATCACCAGGGCAACTGACCTCAGTGAGCCTCAAGTGTGTGTGTTTGTGTGTGGGGGTGTCGAGGCAGCTACAATTATTCCTGCAAGGCTAGATGAAGCCATCAAGAGACTGGTGAGTGAAACACACAACAGCCAGAGATCTCAGAAATCTACAATCTACCATCCAGCAGGTTTTTTTTTCTTTTTTTTTAACTGCCCCCAAAGGGGCAGGGTTTTATTACATTTTCCACATAACATACACAAACAATCACACAACACACACAACATATCCAGCAGGTTTCTGAGTACCCCCACATCTACAGGTCCAAACACAAGACAGCACACTGCAAACACTCTAAATTATTTACTGGATAAAATCATAGTGTCAGTGCCATTACAAGTATATATTCTTTATGTATATGGTTCTTTTTACATTCCCCCAAAAGAATGAGGACTGGAGGAATGTCCTGGACTTCATGCTTACCAACATATTAATGAAGTACAGAACTTCAAAACAGAAACCCTTAGAAGAATTTCAGAGACAGTACTGCCAGGGAATTAATCTCATCTATAGATCTGACCAAAGTTTTGGTGTTTTTCCTTCACAGGCATTTCCTTAGGTTCACACACAAAGGACAGCACTTTCAGTTTAAGGCACTACCATTCAGTCTACCTTCGCTCTTCTAATATTTACCAAACTGATAAAGTAGTGAAAGCACAGGGCTATCTACCCAAAAGGAAGCATTTTCAAATTATGGAGACTTTGAGGCAAAGCACCCTAATTTCCTCAAGGATTAACATGATTATTAGAGAGTCCCGCTCACAGGTGTCCAATGATTTGGGACTTCCTGCAGATACCATCTGTATAGAAATATTGCTTTCTAAATTCTCATGCCTTCTCCTGTGATGACATTCTGTGACTCTGTTTCCTGTAGCAGGCCAAATGGTCCAGGGCAGACCAAATGGCCTGAACTACCTTAATAGCCATGCCATATAACCACACATTCTTTCACACCTCTAAGTGGAAGAGCCAGACCTGATGGCTCCTGGCTCTGGCCCACATGCAACAAGTCACGTAGGCAATGGAGAGGCTGGAGTTTGGGTCATGTGACTGCAGGCGTGGTCTCCAAACTTCTAGCCTATCCCCACACGCAGCTATGACAACCAACAATTGGGCACATCCCCTGCCCACTCGCGATTGGCTGATGGCCACAGCTGATCATGAATGGAATTGGGGTATAATTGTTTTGATTGCTATGGGAATGAGCTTCTTGCTCTTGCTCTGCTCTTAGCTCTCCCTTCTTGTCATTGTCTGTTTATTGCACCTGGAAATGCTGTTTCTTGGAAGACAAAGAGCTGCTTTGTGAACTGGAGCACATGGGTGCAAGGATGGGATGTCTCTTCAAAATCCCTTGGTACTTGGACTATCCTGGACTGTGGATGCTCTGACTTGGTAACTATGAATCATTAATGTTTAGTTAAGGCAAAGAGCCATAAGTTTTTCTTGTTTTCAGTAATCTCTTATATCGTCTGTTTTGCTATGCTCTGTACTGAATAAAAATTATTCTTATTTCTAATGGGTCTCTGATGTTGTAACTTGCATTCCAAGCCAAAATCTTGTGGCCTAAATGCTCACCATATACGCTACTATTGGAGAGTAAAAGTGTGCATGTCTGGAGTGAATTGCTAATGTGTTCTGTCCCAGATGCCAACTAAGGGTTTGGAATCTCTCCCTTAGGAAAGGCAGGGATTATTGAAAAAGAGGTTCTGGTGGCAAATTGTTCTGAAACCAGAGCGGGTATAGACCATCTCGTGGTTTGTTGTTTAATGTACTGAAAAAGTACAGGATTCCCTCCCATCCCTGGACTGGCCTGGGTGGGCAAATCCCTGTACACCATCCTTATCTCTTTCAAAGATGGACTCAAGAATGTGGTAATTGGTTAATCGTGAAAATCTGTGCTCAGTTGTGTAACCAGATGGGGGGCGAATTACAAACAGATGTTAATGTCTTCTGGAAAGTTCTATCAAAAGAGATCCTTGATTGGATCCGAGAGACCACCTGGTACCAGAGGGGAAAAGGCTATAATAGATGGAGGGTATAATAGGGGAAAAGGCTATAATAGGCCCGAGGGAAGCCATGCTACTCTTACACTCATGCCATGCTAGTATGCTTTGATATGTTATGTGTCATAATGAGGGACTGCAATGTATAGAATGTTTTCATGCTAGTGCTGGGATTTTTCTGCTGCAAGAAGATATGCCATCTAATACCAGGTATTCAATGTATTAGATAGAACAGTTAGCTTATTTTCTCTGTTGCTAAGCAACAGTGACTGTACTGCAGTGAAGTATTTTTAAATCTTTGAATAAACCTTTATATATTTTTAAAGTCTGCTTTATTTGTGTGCATTTAACCTTGAGGACCCACAGGGCTGGGTATTGCTCAAGGGACAAGAAGCAGTAACCCAGGGAACCCAGGCTTTTCAGATAATAACAGATGCTAATCTCTTCTGGGGGTAGGAGTCCCCCAAGCATAATAGATCATGTTCAAGGCCTCTGGAGCAAGAAAGAAGCTATGCACAGTGTCAGTTTTCTTGACTTCAGAGCCACACTGGCTCTCTTTCACTCTCAGAACAGCATCCAACAATTAAGTGTTTGCATCAGGAAGGACAACTCTATGGATGAAGCCCATGTGAACTACCTGGAGAATAATTGCCTTCAATGGAGGCAATAATTTTTTTCAACTAGGCAGAGGAGAATCTCGTCTCCTTAAAGGTGAATCATATTAACGAACATTCAAGAAGACTGGCTTAGTCAGAGCCAACTGAATCAGGGGTATGGACACTCAGTTTGGAAATATTTCTCCACTTTTGTCAGTGCCAGATAGACCTCTATGTATCTCCAACATCAAACTGCAAAGATTCTTTTCCAATTTACACTGCATGAGTACAGAACAGGAGAATGCTCTGATGGCCCACACATTCCTTTTATTTTCAAATTGACAAACTCTACCAAGAGAAGACAGATGATAGTGCTCTGTACTAGCAAAGACAACCTTGTTTTAAGCATCAGTTAGACTGACCATGATTTTATCTCTGGTAGGTGATCTTCCCAATTCATGAAATCCACAAGAGAACCCTTTTTCAAAAGGGTACCTTATTTGTTTGTCCTGCAGTTATCTCATTTTCTGTCACAGAGCCTGCATAAGGTCCTCCAGACATTAACACATCATCCTTTGGAATATATACAGGACATTTCTTTCAAATTCCTTACTCTTCAAGTGGTGTTCCTGGTGGCTGTCAGTTTGATCATATTATACTGGAATTTGGAGCCCTGTCAATTACATCTGGCTTCTGCACCTTCTACAAGGACAACGTGGTACTAAGGACTGATCTCTATCTTGATAACTAAGGTAAGTTCAATTTTCACAGGCTGCCAGAAACCTGCCTTTCATTTTGTTGCCCAAAGCTGTGATATCCTATAGAAAATAAGTGGCATTCTCTTTACTTAATCAGCTCCCCAAGTATTTACTTCAGAAGAACATCTACTTTTAGGAAATCAAAACAACGTTTTGTTGTTTTTCTTTCTGTAGTAAAAGGGAAAAGCAGTCTCCAAAGCTTCAGTGTATAGATGGATGAAAGAAGGAATTTCTTTCTGGTTTCATCTGGTTTATCTGGTTTCAGAATTTGGGGGTGGGGGGAGACTGCAAGAAGGATTATGGCACATTTAATACAGAATACAGTTACATGAGCAGCCTGCAACACCAACAATCCTCTAATGCATATACGAAAAGTGGCAATGTGGGCCTCTCTATTTTTTGCCAGACATTATAATTTGGAATCTTGCCTCAGCTAGTGTACCGTTTGGGCAGCAAGTCCTTCAACAATTGGTTTAGTTGGCATTGACCCACTTGGCTTTTATACAAGCAGGTCTCATAGCCTTTTTTGGTGGCCACAGAGGGCCCCTCCTTCCTTTTCCCCAGTATGAAAAGCTTATTGGATCAAGTACTATATGTTATCCTTGGAAGAGCAAATTACAGCTCTGATGCAGAGTCAATAGCCGTTCCTTTCCAGTTCTGAGCAAGGGAATGTGTGCATGCACACATGTGAAAGAAGATGAAAAAAGGTAGATGGGAAAGGGTGGGTACTGGTGCTTTTGTTTTCCCACACACAGCATAATAGTGTGCAGGTGCCTCTCTCATACGAAGGAAAAAAAGGAGAGAAGACACTGCAATAGCTTTAAAGGGAAGCATAACAAAGTGATTAGAGCAGGGGTCCCCAACCTTTGGAATTTTGAGAGGAGGTGGTTTGGGGAGCGGTGGCACAGTGGGTATATCCCACTGTCTTAACATCCAAACTGTGTCAGTTCAAGCCCCGTGCTGGTGTGAGCAGCCAGCCTGTTGTCCGCAGCTCATCGTCCACCCAGAGATTCGAAAGCCTCGGCGAGTAGATAAAATGGGAACCACTCCTTAGAGAGGGTGGGCACACCAACTCCCCTGTGGGAAGGTGTTAGCTGTCGTGTGTGTGACGTCCTGCCCCAGGACCAGAAAGGTGGAAGAACTACTCGGCTACAAAAAATCCCTGCAGTGGGATATTTCGGCCAGGCGGTGGCAGTCTGACAATACGACATACAGGTCCTGAAGCCCCAACGTCATCAAGCCGGTCGACGCAGCCGTTCAGGACATGACTGATCCAAGCCAGAGACGTTTCCACCGTGCATTATTATTATTATTATTATTATTATTTGCTGCATCCCAAAATGGCTACCACAAGAGGAAAAGCCAATCATAATACCTCCCTTGCAGAAGGGGAAAGAAGGGAGAGGGAAGGAGGAATAGAAAAAAAGAAAGCTTAGGGCAGAATGGACCCACACATTGAGTAAGGAAAGCCTGGGTACTCACCAGTCCTCCTGATTCTTCAGTGGCTGCATCTGCTACTGCAGCCACAGAAAACCTTTTCATTTGAATGAGAACAGCCAACCACAGACCCTCCACCCACTCTCTGAAAAGCTCAGCAAGAGCCAGAAAGTACTTGTGGGTACCATGGCACCCAGGGACACTACATTAAGGAACCCAGGGCTACAGCAACACTGGAATGGGTGTGGAGAACTACTTTTAACTGACTGTAGAGTGACTGGTCACTCCTGAGTGACTTGCTCAGCCATGAGCTATGGAATGGAATGCTTTGCATGCAGTCAAAGCTTCAGGCACTGGTAGAGTCCCATTTCTGTTCCATATATAGCATTTGCTAGGATGTTAGTACACTGGTTTTTCCGACAATAGTATACTTTTATTTAAAAATAAAAATACCACAATAGTATACTTTTATTTAAAAATAAAAATACCACAAAACAGAAGGAATTAGTTACAAATTTAAGCAACACTCCAAATTCTAATACCCATCCAGCTAGTTTTTGATATCTGTAGCTAACCACTATCCTATTCTATTCAGTATTTGTCCACTTTCTAATGATGATTTTCAAACACTTCTTCAGCTTGATTATAATTAGGTAAAGGTAAAGGTTCCCTTGCTCGAAAGCCAGTCGAGTCCGACTCTAGGGTTGCGATGCTCATCTCCGTTTCAAAGCCAAAGAGCCAGTGCTGTCCAAAGACATTTCCGTGGTCGTGTGGCCGGCATGACTAAACACCAAGGTGCACGGAATGCTGTTACCTTCCCACTGAAGTAGTACCTATTTATCTACTTGCAATTTCTTGCTTTCGAACTGCTAGGTTGGCAGGAGCTGGAACTGGAGACGGGAGCTCACTCCGTCATGCGGCACACTCGGGTCTCGAACTGCTGAACTACCGACCTTCCACAGCCTGCAGTTCAGCGTCTTAACCACTTGAACAACTGCTTTAATATCATTATATGGATTACTATTTTGTTTTCTTGAACAGGAAACAGTTTCTAGGTGTAGAACTTGAAAAATGTGATACCAGTATAAAGAATCTTGGAAAAATTAAAGTGAATCTAGGAAACTGGTCATGAAAAAACTACGTTTCAAGGGAGGAAAATCTCACATTAGTTGTCACAACTGTGTTTCCCCTGAAGACACTGGACATATAGAAAACTACCAAACATCTTGCATTACCCTATTTATACAACTTACCAGGTGTGCTTGTTGAAGGAGGCTTAGATGCTGAAGGCTCTGGTTCTTCCTATGCAAATTAGATTAGAAATAGAGGGATATAAATGTGCTCCAACAAAAATAAATATGAGTCTTGTAGCACCTTAAAGGTTACAGCTTTTTATTCTAGCATATGCTTTCAAGGGCTATACCCTCTTCATCAGATTAGACAAAATGGGTTTGAGACCATGAAAGATTATGCTAGACGGAAAATGTAAAGACTAAAAAGGTCCCACAAGACCCCTGTTTATAATAATCTTGCAACTCCAGTAAAATATATACTTAGGATTTAAACAGAAGTAAAACTTTTAGAGGATATTGACATAAAATCTCTAAAACTAGCATGGAAGTAAAAGACATTTCCAAGATGATCTATCAAAATTGCACCCTTTGAGGCAGTGATGAAATATATATACTAATAGTAAAGTCAATCAAATCTGAGAATACTTGAATCCAACGTCTGGAGCTGTGACTGGGCAAGACAGATCTTTCTACAAACCTAAAGTGGCCTTAGGCTTGCAGAAAAAAATGAAATTGGTAAAAGGAGCTCCTATAGTTTTAAGCAACAATTTCCCTCAGTGGCTGTTGCTAGGAAACCACAACATTCCCAGACTGGGATTCAGTGAGAAAAAAGGCAGGGGGAGAGGGCAGGATCCTTTCCAGGCCTATTTTGGCCTTTGAGGAAGGACTCATCGGGGCCAGGTCTGGGTAGGGTTGCCAGCTCCAGGTGGGAAAATTCCTGGAGATTTTGTGGTGGAGTCTGATGAGGGCAGGGTTTGGGGAGGGGAGAGGCCTCAGCAGGATATTAATGCCGTAGAGTCCACCCTCAAAGCAGCCATTTTCTCTAGGGGGCTGGACCTCTGTTGTCTGAAGCTCAGCTGTAATTCCAGGAGATTTCGAGGTCTCACCTGGAGTTTGTAAACCCTAGGCCTGGCACCAGCCTCTAGGTGACTTGATACCACCAACTTGCATGACTCAAATAGGCCTGGCTGCTTGCTACTGTTCAACAGCAGCCACCTTACGAAAGCCAGTGTGGTATAGCAGTTAGAGCATCACAGTAAAGTCTGGAAGACCCAGGTTCAAATTCCCATCTCACTGTGGAAGCTCACTGGGTGATTTGGAACCAGTCACATACTTTCAGCCTAACCCACCTCATAGGATTGTTGTAGAGATAAAAAGGAGAAGAGGAGAATAATGTAAGCTGCTTTGGTCCTCACTGTGGAGGAAGGTGGGATATAAATGAAGTAAATAAATAATAAATATAGCTGAAGACAGGAGGCAGACAGATGTTAGGTTGGTGAATGGCTA